AAAATTTCACTGTCGGATGCAGAAATCAGGAATGTCACGAAATTCGAATATCTTGGGACTATAATTAATCACAACGGGATGAATTCAATAGAACTTAAGAAACGACTTGCCATGGCGATGCAGTTGCAAAATGTAATTAGAAGCCAATTGATCACTAGTGCAATAATAATAATAATAATAATAATAATAATAATAATAATAATAATAATAACGATACTACAGGGATCGGTAGAAGTTAGGAGAGAAGAGGCAGAACCAAGAAATGGTCCTATTCACGTTTCCCGGCCGATCTACACACTGGTTGACCTTTTATTCATGCTTGCCTTGACTAGTCTACCTCGGAGGGGTGTCATGTTGTCTTGCCTCCAATTACATTAGCGCTGATGTCGTGTGTTCTATACCACACGACGACACAGCTTTTTAACTTGGCTCACTGGACAGGTCTCAGACATCAAATCAATTACATTTAACAGTCAACTGTTGATCCAGCCACACGTGGGAATATGATGATAATGAGGATTTGGATGTGAATCCATACATCGCGTTATCATTGTACATCAAAATTAACAACGCTACTTACGCTACAACTCTTGTAGAACTGTCTATACATCTCGCGGTCTTCCTGATTAAATGGGGCGAAAAACATGGGCACTGTCTTCAGAAGACAGAAGGAAAATAGTCACAACAGACATGAAATGTTTACGTATTATACTAGGTGTAACAAGAAAAGATCGACTCAGGAACGATAAGGAGAGTCGGCACAAAACCAATAATGAACTTTATAGCTAGAAAGCAGGTCAAATGGTTTGGCCATTTAACAAGACTGGCAGCAGACAGGGCATCACAGAGCGCATTGTTATACAGATACAGCGGTAACAGAGCCAGAGGTCGACCACGCAAAAATGGACTGCACAAATATCAGAGACGTTCGAAAGGACTATATACTAAGCGAACAGAAAGGCCTGTTTCAGAAATCTCTTCTTATCCTGACGCCGTGACACATTACAGGAGTAGAGAAAAGAAGAAGAGCCAGAAGACAAAGTTTATTAGAACCCTCCCGTAAGTTGAACGTGGTCGATTTTTGAGGAGTTTTGAATTCATAAATGGACTGAGATATTTGAATAGAATTACTGCAAACACATGCCATCCCACAATATGGGATACAATTTATTTGTTATTTTCAAGCTCCACCCTGGCTGTCGTCGGAGGAACTGTTATAATCTAACAGTTAATCGGGGGCGTCTGGGACTTGAGTTCGGGGAAAAAAAAAGGGGGGGGGGGGGTAATATCACCCGAATAGTATCACTTCCTGTCATATGGTGTTTATCGCCCCTTGTGCAGTGCTGGTGGGGGTTGAACGTCAGTCAATCGATCAATAATATATCAATCAATTTAATCAATCAAATCAATCAATCAAAGTTTATTAGAATATCGCGGATTAAGAAGAATAAGCAAACTGACATTCTTAAGACCTGTATAGAGAAGAATATTGGATGTTCAACTACGTGTCTTCAGATCTGCGATTCCTCATCCCCCAACTAAATACCGCAGTGGCTTCGGAAGAACATAGCTGGTTAAGTTAGTTGCGTATCCTTTACAGGACGTTGCAGAACCAACCACAGCAATTTTTGACTGTTGCCGCTTTTCTAGGCAAATTTACGTCCAGTAGTTTGCCACTGCTCACTTAACGGTCGGCCTTTCTGTCAAAACCAACGCAAGGCGCAGGGTCTGCAGCTAGAATCGAACCAGGCACAACTGGTAGATGGGGTATTTGGAAGTAGAGACAGAGGGCGACCAGCATGAATGTAGACACAGGAAACTGGAGGCAGACAGAGAGACAAACAGATGGAAAGACAAGGAGACAGACAGAATATAGACATTTTAAATAAAAAAAAAAATAATGGGTTATGTAGATGTCACGTCCTACATGCTAAAACTGAGAGGTGGGCGGGTACAAATAAATAGAACATAAACTTCCCGTGTGGGCTCTGGGGCCCAATTATGGGAAAAACAAGGAACAGACCCACTGCCATTTTAACAAGCATGTCGTAGTAGTCGACTGTTTGGGGACTTTCTTCGGAGTACATCTGTCCAAGTGGCAAGGAACAACAAAACTGCACACAAATAAGTCAGTCAACAGGTGTACACGTTCAAAGCCAAAGTCTAAATGGGCGAATAACCATAACCGCCGGAGCTTTCAACCGGTGAACAAAGAAGAAGAAGAAAAAGAAGAAGAAGAAAAAGAAGAAGAAGAAGAAGAAGAAGAAGAAGAAGAAGAAGAAGAAGAAGAAGAAGAAGAAGAAGAAGAAGAAGAAGAAGAAGAAGAAGAAGAAGAAGAAGAAGAAGAAGAAGAAGAAGAAGAAGAAGAAGAAGAAGAAGAAGAAGAAGAAGAAGAAGAAGAAGAAGAAGAAGAAGAAGAAGAAGAAGAAGAAGAAGAAGAAAAAGAAGAAACAGAAGAAAAAGAAGAAGAACAGAAACAAGTACTCTCACAGACCTACAATCAAAAGAACCGTTAATCAAAAAGACAAGTGTCTATCGATTAAACTTTTGAAAAATTCCTCCAGCAACCGGAGCCGAAATTTGTTTAACGGTGGAATCTGATTAGTCTTTTGGAACTACACAGTAATCCGATAAGCTTAAAACTATTTGTTGCAAGAAAACAAACAATTTGATTAACAGAAAACAAAATGAATTCAAATGGCAGTATTATTGAAAGAAAGCGAAGGCCTTTTTTTTTAAATGTCAGTGGCGTACCAGACTTATACCTGTATTTACTTGCTTGATGGGTGATTTGATTTTTAAAAAAAGTAACAATAATGGATCAGAAATATAATACTGTATAGTGAAATCTCGTTAGCTTGCTTGAAATGAATGTTGAATTGAGAATCAACCTCAAAGCACGTGGGAGACTCTCATAAGCGACCCGTCCTCATCTTCAGCAGCAAGCGAAGATTCCAGTTCTGATAGTAACAGCAACTGTCCGATTGTATATCCGTCTCGCCTTTCTCTTGAGTTTTGAGCGTCGTTCAGATCCTCTGGTAACTCCCCGCAGCGCCGTTCTCCACAGACCGTAATGATCTATGTGTGACTCTGCACTGTTGACTCGCTCCCAAAGGGCCGTCACAACATCTAGTGTGTCATACATCAATTCATCACAAATGGTGCAGAACCAGCCAGTCTATCCGCCTGCTCAATTCCCTACACACCAGCATGACATGGAGAAAATATCAAAAGGACGCCAATAACCCGGGCCTCTGAAGCGACTCCTGCCACTCTGCACGGAGCATGCCTGTCTCCACCTTTCTCAACATGCTCTGTCAGGTATAATTACGGCATGTGTGTACAGCTGATTACAAGTCCAGCTTGCGTGAAAAGACTATTTTAACATAAACACAATTTAAGTCAAAGCAGGCATAATAAGCCTCAGTGAGCACGAATACTATAATACGAACTCCTTATTTGCGGTCTCTTGCAATCTGGGTTAACCAGGTTTCACGGCAATACGTTTGAAATAAACTGAAATGTATAAACACACATGCAAAAGAGAACCCATGTACACTCTTTGGTTATGTGATGAGAAAAGGAGCACTGGAAAATAGCATGAAGACTGGAAAAATCACTAGTAGAAGAGGCAGAGGCAGACCTAGAGAAACGAGGGTGGATGGCTTAAGAGAGTGGCATGAAGGAACATCATCAGTGGAATTGATCCAGAACACCAAAGACCGAGATCTGTGCAGATGCATGTACGCCTACGCCAGTTGGCAGGGCACTTGATGATGATGTATACTCTGGGGAAGGGAGGGGAAAGGAGAGGCGGTCGTTTAACCTATTAAAATGGGGGGAAATGAGGATGGAAGGGAGCATTTAGCCCTATTAAAATGTTTTTAAGGGGTCTTAATGTAACAGGGAGACGTCATCACTTGTTTGCCAGGAGTTAGCATGGTTCACATAATTAGAATAATCAACAAGTCTTGGCAACCTTGACAATCCTTTCTAGAACCATCATTTGTTTATCAGCGGAAATATATGCAAATGAATAACCTAGTTATATAAATATCATGGAACCTCAGATGTAGAAAAGTATCTTTAACCTTCAGTCTACATTGACCTAAGAGGAAAGATTAGTAACATGGACCATCACAGCCGAAAGCATTCAGTTAGAGATGTCAGCTCAACACTAGAAGAAGAGGAATCAGTCACATTGAGCCTCGAAGACAGACACTAGAAAGGAGACATGAGATGAAACAATCAACGATCAAGCTGTTAGTACTAGACAGCACTAGAAGCCATGAGGCACTTACAGACACTAGAACCAGTTAACAAAGTAACTAGAGATAAAGAACACAACGCGATCTCAAGAGTGTGTAACCAAAGAGCATACACAACGCCATTCAAAATATCATAATGGTGTTTGTGACATTACTAAGGGATCACAATAAAAGCAGTACGGAAAAGAACAGTTGTTTCCAGACATTTTATAACTCAAGCATTAGTGACGTGAGCAGTATGCAGCAAGCAAGACATCATCATCACCACTATCGACACGACCATTTTTCTCCTCGTCTATATTCTTCAATTGACACCTTCTCTAGTAAACAAAAGACGAACCTGGGTGTTACATTAACATACACAAAGAAGACAGCTATGCTGCATTAACCCCTCCCCCTCCCATTTATGGATCGGACGAATCAGACAGCCTGAGCTGAAAGGAACTGACGCCTTTGGTTATTACTGGCAATAGTTCGGTTCCTCCCTCCCCCGAACAACACAGCTCTGGGGTGGAGTTAGCATAATAATGTCGGCTACCCGATAGTTTCCGGACATTTCTGGGAAATATCTGGCAATGAAAAGCGACTAAGAAGGTAACTGGACACCGCATACACTCCATATCGCAATTTTAGCATCTGTTATGGAACTGTTTTAAGAAAATCAGATTACACTTTAAACTGTGAAGAGAGCAGATTTGAACTAATGAAGATAATGAAAAAAGTTGAATTGACCTTTTATCCAATGATAAATATCCGCCGTCTTCTAGATCGTCTTCGCTCAGAAAATGGGGTGTTGCTGAAATACAAGCAAAAATAAAAAAAAAATAAAAAAAAAAAAAAAAAAACACACACACACTTTTAGTCATATAAATTAATGAATAAAAAAAAAATACAACCGATTAGTCATAAAAATATATAAATAAAAAATAAAAACCAGTTAGTCATATAGATAAGTACCAGAACGTATGCCATAAAATGGAAAATTCATGTATGTCTGTCTGTCTGTCATAAGAACTTCTCCCAAACGGTAAACATTAGCGAGGTGACATTTACACATGCCAGTCTGGTTGCCTTTTGTAGGTCAACTGTACCATTTCCAACTTTTAACTTTTAGAATTATTACTACAATTTCCCCTTCGACTTGCATTTGCGATCTTCTTTTTCTTCTTCTTCTGTGCGTTCAGTTTCGTATGTTAAAGCCAGACCGCCAGTTCAGTTTCGTATGTTAAAGCCAGACCACTAGTTCAGTTTCGTATGTTAAAGCCAGACCGCCAGTTCAGTTTCGTATGTTAAAGCCAGACCGCTAGTTCAGTTTCGTATGTTAAAACCAGACCACTAGTTCATTTTCGTATGTTAAAGCCAGACCGCCAGTTCAGTTTCGTATGTTAAAGCCAGACCGCCAGTTCAGTTTCGTAAGTTAACACCAGACCACTAGTTCATTTTCGTATGTTAAAGCCAGACCGCTAGTTCAGTTTCGTATGTTAAAGCCAGACCGCCAGGCGGAAAAACTAAAAAACTGAACGGATAAAACATGTTATGCTGCTTTTTAAGACTCACCGTTGACGACAAGGGCAACTGTCAGTAGAAGGAAGCAGGCGTAGATGATGTGATTTAGTCCCTTGGGTACACAGACATCTGGACACATAGTTTTGGTTCTAATGCTGCTGCTGCTGGTGGAAGGACTGGACATCTGTGGAAAAGTACGGTGTATTGCTGTATTATTCGACAGCCTGGGAAACTTGCAGTTGAAAGATTATGTCAGATATTTGTTATATGGTCATAATGGAACAAATTCAGCTGGCAGATAGAGCAAACTACATGAGGGCAGCAGGCTACAAGGCAAGAGGTCAACCCAGAAAGAGATGAGCAAAAGGAACAAAAGAGACACACCAGAAACGCAGTATGACATTAACGCAAACTACGCAACTGGCAAATGACAAGCAACTACATCTAACTCCTCTCTGCGACGCTTTAGGGGGAGATATATAGTGGGGCCAAAGAAGAAGAAGAAGAAGAAGGAAGAGGCGGAGGAGAATAGGAATAGGAAGAAGAAGAAGAAGAAGAAGAAGAAGAAGAAGAAGAAGAAGAAGAAGAAGAAGAAGAAGAAGAAGAAGAAGAAGAAGAAGAAGAAAAAGAAAGAAAGAAGAAGAAGAAGAAAAGAAGAAGAAGAAGAAGAAGAAGAAGAAGAAGAAGAAGAAGAAGAAGAAGAAGAAGAAGAAGAAGAAGAAGAAGAAGAAGAAGAAGAAGAAGAAGAGAGTAAAAAAGAAGAATAAGAAGAAGAAGAATTATAAGTGACAATGTGTTGTGTATTGATGTGTGTGCGTGTGTGTGTTTATGTTTGTGGACAGTCAAACTGGTGGCCTGACAGGCAAATAGAGCGACAGGCGGATAGATATATGGACAGATAGACAAACCGACAGACACACAGACAGACAGACAGACAAATAGATAGACATTTTGATAGAAATATAGACATATTTACAGACAAATAGACAAATAGACAGACAGACAAAGAGAAAGATTTCATTCTTCAACGCTTTCTTTCCTTTTTCTTTCTTTCTGTCTTTGCTTCTTTTTTTCTGTTCATTCTACTGTAACACACACACACACACACACACACACACACACACACAACCCTGTTTATGTATAAACGCCTGATCCTAAAATGATTATCGTCATCTCTCTCTCTCTCTCTGTCTCTCGCTCTCCCTCTCTCTCCCCCGCCTCTCACTGTCTCTCTCTCCCCCTGTCTCTCTCTCCCCGTGTCTCTCTCTCTGTCTCACTTTCTCTCTGTCTCAAACTCTCTCTGTCTCACTCTTTCTCTGTCTCACTCTCTCCCTGTCTCACTCTCTCCCCCTCTCTCTCTCTCTGCCTCTCTCCTCCCTTTCTTTCTCTCTCTCTCTCTCTCTCTCTCTCTCTCTATCTCTCTCTCCCTCTCTCTCTCTCTGTGTTTCGTACTCAAAAGCTGTTTGCAATGACTTGCCATGATTGCCAGTCTAAACACAATTTTGTGACCAAATCTGAAGAGACGACCGCTAAGTGTGAAATAGATCTTCGTGACTGACGTCGGTTTAAACAACAAATGCAGTTAGCAGACCGAAAACTGCTGATCACTTTGTACTGCTAGAGCCACTTCACCAGCAATCTGACATATTATCTGGCTGTTTCTTCGATAGTCTCGGGTTTCCTCTTCGATTCTTCCCTCTGAGTTCAATCCCCGGTAAGAGTTAGG